AAAAAAAAAAAAAAAAAGAAATATGTTAGTGTTTCTTCTTAATAGTAATCACTCTCTACACCTGTTCCCTGTCTAAGGTGCTGCAGTCTCTCTGCTGCTGTTTAACACTTAACTTTGGTCTAAACAGACTCAAACTGTAATTCCAAATTATACCATTTCCTTTTGGCACTTTATGTCATGGGAGACGGATACAGACACCAGTGTCTGGCAAGGGCCCTAGAAACCAGAAAGAAAGATGTATGTGCCACTATTTTTTTGTCTTTTAAAAAAGAAACCAGGAATTTGCAATTTGCTTCTGAAAACATCATGTTATATTGGGGAGCAGAAAGAGCTGTGTTGGGTAAATTTAACAGACTTTTTTTTTTCTTCTCTGGAGCTCTTTGCATTATGCTCACCTGGGGCACTGCACACACTTTATATTTATAAATTTTTTTACAAATGTATTCTGGTCAGAATGTTTTATTACATTTATTTGTCTACAAGGATTTAGGACCTGTGGTATATTGCTGTGCCATCTTACTTACATAGTTTGTATAATATAGATTAGATTTGTAAAGTATATTCATCTGAATCTAGTAAATAAAACAATTTGTTATTTTTATTTCTTTCAGTTTTGAGTTATTTTCCCAAAGACCTTTGGCTAGAGCAAAACATAAAAAATTCTTTCCAACAAGAGATACTGACAAGATATGGAAAATATGGACATGAGAATTCACAATTAAGTAAAGGTCGTAAATGTGTGGATGAGTGTAACGTACACAAAGGAAGTTATAATGGACTTGACCAATGTGTGACAACATCTCAGAGTAAAAAATTTCAGTGTGATAAATATGTGGAAGTCTTTCATAAATTTTCAAATTCAAGTAGACATAATATAAGACATACTGGAAAGAAACCTTTCAAATGTCAAGAATGTGACAAATCATTTTGTATGCTTTCACATCTAACTCAACATAAGATAACTCACACTGGAGAGAAACCATATAAGTGTGAAGAATGTGGCAAAGCTTTTACTCGATCTTCAACTCTTACTACACATAAGAGAGTTCATACGGGAGAGAAACCCTACAAATGCGAAGAATGTGGCAAAGCCTTTACTCGATCCTCAACTCTTACTATGCATAAGAGAGTTCATACTGGAGAGAAACCCTACAAATGTGAAGAATGTGGCAAAGCCTTTAAACAGTATTCAAACCTTACTAGGCATAAAAAAATTCATAGTGAAGCAAAACCATTCAAGTATGAACAGTGTGGCAAAGCTTTCAAACTATCCTCCACCTTTACTATGCATAAAATAATTCATACTGGAGAGAAACCCTACAAATGCGAAGAATGTGGCAAAGCTTTTAACCGATCCTCCACCGTTACTGTACATAAGATAATTCATACTGGAGAGAAACCATACAAGTGTGAAGAATGTGGCAAAACTTCTAACCGTTCTTCAGACCTTACTAAACATAAGATGATTTATACTAGAGACCAATCCTACAAATTTGAAGAATGTGGCAAAACTTTTAACCAGTTTGCAACTCTCACTACTCATAAGATCATTCATACTGGAGTGAAACCTTACAAGTGTGAAAAATGTGGCAAAGCTTTTAACCATTCCTCTACCCTTACTATCCATAAGAGAATTCATACTGGAGAGAAACCCTACAAATGTGAAGAATGTGGCAAAGCTTTTAACCGGTCCTTTGCACTTTCTAGACATAAGATAATTCACATTGGAGAGAAACGTTACAAATGTGAAGAATGCGGTAGGGCTTTTATACAGTCTTCAAGCCTTACTACACATAAGAGACTTCATAGTGAAGAGAAACCCTACGAATGTGAAGAATGTGGTAAATCTTTTAAACATTCCTCAAGCCTTACTAGTCATAAGAAAATTCATACTGAAGGGAAACCCTACAAATGTGAAGAATGTGGCAAAGCTTTTAACCGATCCTCAACCCTTACTGTGCATAAGAGAATTCATACTGGAGAGAAACCCTACAAATGTGAAAAATGTGGCAAAGCCTTTACCAATTCTTCACACCTTGCTAAACATAAGAAAGTTCATACTGGAGAGAAACCCTAAAATTTGAAATGTGAAAAGTGTGGCAAAGCTTTTAACTGGTCCTCAACTCGTACTAGACATAAGATAATTCATACTGGAGAGAAACTGTACAAATTTGAAAAATGTGGCATAGCTTTTAACCAGCCCTGAACTCTTACTAGACATAATTCATACTGGAGAGAAACCCTGCAAATGTAAAGAATGTGGCAAAGCTTTTAACTGATCCTCAACTCTTACTATGCATATGATAATTCATACTGGAGAGAAACCCTACAAGTGTGAAAAATGTGGCAAAGCCTTTAATAAGTCCTCAAACCTTACTACACATAAGACAATTCATGAGAGAAAATCTACAAGTGTGAAAAATGTGGCAAAGTTTTTAACCATTCTTCAAACCTTACTGAACGTAAGTTAAGCAGTTCTCAACTCTTACTACTCATAAGATAATTCATACTGGAGACAAACCCTACAAATGTAAAGAATATGGCAAAGCTTTTAACTGATCCCTCAACTCTTACTCTGCATATGATAATTCATACTGGAGAGAAACCCTACACATGTGAATAATGTGGCAAACCCTCTAATAAGTTCGCAAACCTTACTAAACATAAGAAAATGTATACTGGAGAACAGCCCTACAAATGTGAAGAATGTGGTGAAGCCTTTAGTGCATTCTCAAGCCTTACTCAACATAAGATGATTCATACTGAAGAGAAACCTTACAAATGTAAAGAATGGCAAAACTTCTTAACTACTCAAACCTTTCTAGTCAAGATAATTCATACTGGAGAGAAACCCTACAAATGTGAAGAATATGGTAAAGCTTTTAACTGATACTCAACCCTTACTATGCATAAAATGATTCATACTGCAGAGAAACCCTACAAATGTAAGAATGTGGCAAAGCCCTTAAACATGCCTCAACTCTAATGAAACGTAAAATAATAAATACTGCAGAGAAACCCAACAAATGTGAAGAATGTGGCAAAGTTTTTAACCGGTTCTCAACCCTTACAAGACATAAGAGAATTCATACTGAAAAAAAAACCCTAGAAATATAAATAATATGGCAAAGCCTTTTTTTAACATGGAGTTTCACTCTTGTTGCCCAGGCTGGAGTGCAATGGCACAATCTTGGCTCACCACAACCTCCACCTCCTGGGTTTTAGGGATTCTCCAGCCTCAGCTTCCTGAGTAGCTGGGATTACAGGCATGCTCCACCATGCCCAGCTAATTTTGTGTTTTTAGTAGAGATGGGGTTTCTCCATGTTGATTAGGCTGGTCTCTAACTCCTGAACTCAGGTGATCTGCCCACCTCAGCCTCCCAAAGTGCTCGGATTACATGCGTGAGCCACCATGCCTGGCCACCTCAAACTTTCCTAAACGTAAAAGAAATCATAGTGGTGAGAAATTTTAGAAATGTAAAAAATGTGAGAAAGCCTGTAAATGATTGTTGCACTTGATTGTTGGTAGAGTAGTTTATACTGGACAAACTTTTTTTTGTTTTTGATGGAGTCTTGCTCTCTTGATAGGCTGGTGCGCAGTGGTGCAATGCCTGCTCACTGCAACTTCCAGCTCCCTGATTTAAACGATTCTCCTGCCACAGCCTTCCCAGTAGCTGAGGTTTCAGGCACACACCATCACACCCAGCTAATTTTTGTATTTTTTAGTAGAGACAGGGTTTCACAATGTTGGCCAGGATGTCTCAATCTCCTGAACTTGTGGTCTGCCCACCTCAGTTTCCCAAAGTACTGGGCTTACAGGTGGGAACCACCGTGCCTGGCTGTACAAACTCTTAAAAGTGTGAAGAATGAGGCAAAACTTTTAACCTATGCTCACACTTATTACCAGGAAAGCATTTATTTATACTTCAGAAAAAATGTATAAATGTAAAGGATGTGGAAAAGGCATTAATATCTTCTCACATGTTACTCAATACTACTTAATAAAAGCATTATAAATGCAATTACTGTCAAAAGATCTTTCAGAAAATACAAGCTTTTAAAGTGATGATGTGTATTTATGTTGACAAACATTACAAATAGAAAGAGGATTGTAATACGTTTATTTGTATCACAGATCTTAGTGTAAATTTTTTTTTTTTTTTTTTTTTGAGACAGAGTTTCGCTCTTGTTACCCACACTGGAGTGCAATGGCGCGATCTCGGCTCACCGCAACCTCCGCCTCCCGGGTTCAGGCAATTCTCCTGCCTCAGCCTCCCCAGCAGCTGGGATTACAGGCACGCGCCACCATGCCCAGCTAATTTTTTGTATTTTTAGTAGAGACGGGGTTTCACCATGTTGACCAGGATGGTCTCGATCTGTTGACCTCGTGATCCACCCGCCTCGGCCTCCCAAAGTGCTGGGATTACAGGCTTGAGCCGCCGCGCCCGGCCCTAGTGTAAATGTTTTGTACTAGAGGAAAACCCTGAAACAGTTGCTGAAACTTTAACATCAGAGAATTTATATTGGAGAAAACTCCAAATGTATAAATTTGAAAAAACATTTTTTCAAAAACTACAACTTAGACAACACCAGAGGGTTCATACTAAGATATTTTTTTTGTGAATGCTGTAAGTATGAAAAAATATTTAATTCAAAATTGAGTCTGTGTAAGTATCAGAGAATTCACAGTAGAAATAATTAAGGTGGCCAGGTATGGTGGCTCATGGCTGTAATCCCAACACTTTGGGAAGCTGAGGTGGGTAGATCACAAAGTTAGGAGTTTGAGACCAACAAATGGTGAAACAGTATCTGTACTAAAAACACAAAAATTAGCCAGGCAAGGTGGCACACACCTGCAATCCCAGGTACTCAGGAGGCTGAAGCAGGAGAATCACTTGAACTCGGGAGGTGGAGGTTACAGTGAGCCAAAATCACACCACTGCACTCCAGCCTGGGTGACAGCAAGACTTCGTCTAAAAAATAAAATAAAAATAAAAAACTAAGGCATAGATACTTTAGGCATTACACTAAATCAGAGTGTTGAGTTTAAAAAATAATCCCAAACTAATATTGGTAGGTAGATAGATTATTTGTATACAACTTTAAAAGTAGAGTTATTTTTTGGAATGTTATATTCATAGTATATTATTTTTCCTGGACAAAAAGTAGATAGTTTTCTAAAAGCTAATGATGTAACTAATCTCTGAAATTATGTCATGCTATTTCTTCATATTGTAATCGCATGTGATCAGTTGTCACTGCATCAAGATATAAGATATTCTTTTTTTGTTAGATGAGCATTATTCGTGACTTTCTATAGAAGAGTAAGGTCATTAAAATGGAATATGCATAATGAAATCTAAGTGGAGACGCTCCTATTGAATGATGCATGAGGTAGGTGTTCAAAGTAATATTCTTCTGCATTATATTGAGAAAACTTAAGTTTTGTTAAAATTAAATTAGTAGTATATCATTTTCCTAAATACACTTTAATAAAATGCCGTACATTTTAAAATTTTAAGATTACATGGAAAGTTAATTTTTTAATTAAACTTTTTTTAATACGTTAAGACTATTGTGTATTCGATGAAAGAGTGTTCTTATGCCACCACCTTTTTTTTTTTTTTTTTTTTTTTTTTTAAGATGGAATCTCGCTCTGTGGCCAGTCTGGAGTGCAGTGGCGCTATCTTGGCTCACTGCATCTTTTGCTCCCAAGTACAGGCGATTTTCTGCCTCAGCCTCTTGAGTAGCTGGGACTACAGGTGTGTGTCACCACGCCCAGCTAATTTTTGTATCTTTAGTAGAGACAACGTTTTACCATGTTGGCCAGGATGGTCTTGATCTTGACCTCGTGATCCACCTGCCTCAACCTCCCAAAGTGCTGGGATTACAGGTGTGAGCCACTGCATCTGGCCTGTTATGCCACTAACTTTAACCTAACCCATCTTACTTAATGGTGTAGGTAAAAGTAACAATATACTATTTGGTAACATAATGGACTAACATCTCTAGTAATCTTTTTGTCAGTAGCTTTCAACTGCAAATAAGTTAAAAATTTTTAACTTTGCTGGGTCCAGGCACAGTGGCTCATGCCTGTAATCCTAGCACTTTGGGAGGCTGAGACAGGTGGATCACCTGAGGTCAGGAGTTTTAGACCAGCCTGGCCAATATGGTGAAAACCCAGCTCTACTAAAAATAGAAAAATTAGCTGAGGATGGTGGTGGATGCGTATAATTCCAGCTGCTTGGGAGACTGAGGCAGGAGATCACTTGAACCTGGAGGGCAGAGATTGCAGGGAGCTGAGATCTCGTCCCTTCACTCCAACAAATGAAAAAACATATATACATATATTATTCATATATTTATGCATTAAACTATATATGCATGCTGTAGGTTTCTGTTTTAAAAAATTTTTTGTACGTAGTATGTGTATATATTTACGCTGTATTTATGTCTTTTTTTTTTTTTTTTTTTTTTAAGATGGAGTTTTGCTTTTTCGCCCATGCTGGAGTGCAGTGGCACAATCTTGGCTTACTGCAACCACAGCCTTCTGGTTTCAAGCAATTCTGCCTCAGCCTCCCAAGTAGCTGGGATTACAGGTGCTCGCCACCACACCCAGCTAATTTTTATATTTTTAATAGAGATGGCGTTTCACCATGTTAGTCAGGCTGGTCTCAAACTCCTAACCTCTCGATCTGCCCGCCTCAGCCTCCCAAAGTACTGGGATTACAAGTATGAGCCACTGCCCACGGCTTACAGTTTTTAGTTTTAGCCGCGTAAGTGTAGCCAAATCCTTGGTGATTTTCTCAGAAAAAATTTGGAGATCATGGCAGCTTTCGGGTTTCAACATGTCTTAGTATTTTGCATGCAAACTTAACTGTGTTCAGAGTGGCCAGTCATGGGATCACAAGCAACACCTGCCCTTTTGCTCTCATGCCATTACCATCTGCACCAGAAGCTTCAGGTTCCCAAGCTTTAAGTAAAAGCCTTAAACTGCATTGGCTCCTGCCATGCACTGTGCTGTCTGCAGAACAGTGTTCAATAACAAAATTCTTAAGATTATGACTGACAAAATGAAAAAAAATAGCACAAAAACTATTTTCGATACTATCAGCCAGGTTTATGACAAAGACATTTCATACATTGTTATCTTTCTTTTTCTTTTTT